GGCTCCTGCCTGGGGGCGGCGCTGGCCCTGCTGCTAGTGCTGCTGCCGGCTGGCTGCCCGGTGCGGGCACAGAACGACACGGAGCCCATTGTGCTGGAGGGCAAGTGCCTGGTGGTGTGCGACTCGAGCCCGTCGGCGGACGGCGCGGTCACCTCCTCCCTGGGCATCTCGGTGCGCTCCGGCAGCGCCAAGGTGGCCTTCTCCGCCACGCGGAGCACCAACCACGAGCCGTCCGAGATGAGCAATCGCACCATGACCATCTACTTCGACCAGGTCAGCCGGCCGGCCTGCCACCTCGCCTCCCGCCCGGGGTAGAGAGGGCGGGGGCCTGGGCGCGCGGGCTGGGGACTCCAGGCTCTCCCCGCCTCTCCGCTCCGCCCTGCCCTTCTCCTTTCTCCCTTTCCGAGTAAGCTCTCCTTACCATTTCCCTTTTTTCACATTGTAGCTTTTTTATCACTAGCAGCTCGGATGACCGACAGTCCTTTAAAACTAAGGGATCTGAAATGCATTCCCTGAAAGGAAACTGCACATTTTACTTTTCGCTGGGATGGGGGCTGTCGTTAGTGGTAGATGGGCTTCAGTCATCCAGGTGGCCAACTTGGGGATTGAGTGCATTGAAAACACCCCCAAAAAGGGGTTCTCCAAAGGTCTCAACCAACGATCAGAAAATCAGTGCCTACTGCTTATTTTGGAATGGACTGGGGAGAGGATGCTTATCTTCAAGAAAAATGTCTGGAAGAGTGTGGGGGCAATAGCAGGGACGGTTATATAAATTCAAAACAAAATAGAGTGCTATTATATAGATGGAATAGATAGCAAATACAACATATATCCTGTAATGTACAAATATATACAACACATAAATATTATATATAGTGTGTTTATATAGATTAAAAAAATAAGGATCAAAGACTTAACCTAGGCCACTTAACTTCACTCACTTGGTTCAAAGCAGAAGGGTCAATAAATGATCAGACCTTGGCAATCCCTTCTCTGGGTTTTTGGGCTCAGGATTGGAGGTTGTGACCTTCCTCTTGTGCCCTCCTGTCTTGGTTTCTGTTTTTCAGGAACAAGTTGAAAACATTATAGTGGTTCCCAAGCTTTACCTGCTCAGTCCCTTCCTTTTGCCATCATGCTTCCCACTAAAACAGAGTATTGGGCTTTCTGGCCACACTTAATTGACTTCCTTTCTGTTAACCAATCCTCACACCTCAGTGATGGTAAACCTACACACACCATTGTCTCTTTTTAGGCCAGAGGATTAATTTATTTTAATCCTTGCTAAGGATTAACTACTTGAAGTTTTGAGGTTTTGGGGGGAATCCCTTTTTCATCTGTTTTTAAACAGTTTTTTTTTTTTAAACTAAAACTATTGATTTTAAATATGGCCAGATAAAGCAGAGAACAATAAGATGGGTATTTGCTCTCTATTTACTCTATTAATACGTTCTTCTTCACGTGTTATCATTAGTTACCTCCCATCATTTCACTTGGGTGTCAAGAGAACTCTGACATAGGGCAAGATAAGTTGTAGTAAGATTCTAATTTTATAGATGAGCTAACTATGGCAGGGCAGGTAAAATGCTGTTCTTCTGGTTCCCCAGTTAGGGAGTAAGTGAAACCTGCTTTTCTGGGCTCCTTGGGTGTTCTTTCATCAACAGCAAGGCCCTAAATTTACCAGTTTGCTGAATTTAAAACCGATGGGAAAGAGTTGAGGTAGTTGAGTTGGAAGAAACAGCTCCGAGGGCTAGGAGGGAGAACGCTTTATTCTTTTTTAAAGCCTTGTAAGGTGGACTGAGAGCCTAGGCTGAAAGAGACGGAGAGCAGGCATTGTGCAGCTCATGGTCTGAACAATAGAGCCCTGAGTGTCTGTGTGAGCCCTGCAGGCGAGAGGGAATGAAGTGGTGCCCTGAGCTCCTTGAAGAAGCTGGTGCGGGCTTATTTCCCGAGTGGTGACAGCGGTTGTCGTGGGCAGATCGCACATTGCTGTGAGGATTGTGTGTCATTCGGCTACAATGAGTGTGTAAGGAGTAACAGCAAGAGGTATTCGGTTGAAATTTATTTTCTGAGCAGACGACAGGATTCTTAACCTAGGGTTCTGTTGTTGCTGGCTGTTTGCTTTAAAAGCCCAGAACACCAAGCGGGCCATTTTATTATTGTAATCGAGTTGTGCATATGTGTGTGAGTAGAAGTGGGGATGGAATCCAGACAGGTGACCAAATTCTGCCTTAAACACCTGACAGGGAATTGGTCATCATGAGGGATCCTCCACTCTGCAAATTCTGCTTGTGACACTGTAACACTCTCATCCCCCTTGCATTTGAGAAAAATCATCTGCAGGGTCATGTGACCTCACATCCTCCGGCTAATTTTGTCATTAGTCTTTGCACGCTCCTGTAGTTTGAGCTCAGGGTATCCAACTGCTGTCTCCACTCCATTTATTCAAGCTTATTTGCATGACATCAGAGCTCAGCCAAGGGAACAAACACAATACTCAGAGGAAAGTGAAGGAAACAGGTGCAGCGAGTGTTCATCCACCCGGTCTTCCACTCAGCACCTGCGATTGAGTACCTACTGTGTGCTGCCAGGGAGGGTGCCAGGGGCTGGGGACACAGGGCGACAAAAACCCCTCGCAGTCCATTCTCTCCTGGAGCACATGAAGTCAAAGTGCCAAGCTTGAGCTGATGTAAGTTATTTCCCTGAATTGGCCTCTTAGCCCTGGTCTAGTTCCCTCCATTCAGCCTGGCGTGGCACTCTATTTGTGAAAGTAAACTTCACGTGGAAAGCCCAGGATCCCACAAACCTCTGAACAGACTCAATTCCATTTGTTTACCGACCACCTTATTGCCTTCTATTCCTTTTTTTCTGCCTTCCCCCAACGTGGAAAGTTTGCGCCCACTTTCTGAATGCATACATAAGATACACTTTTCAACACCTTTGTTAATTACAATCCATTTGGATTCTTCTCAAATCCCTCTGGGCATAGGGTATTTTACCACCAGCCCCCGCCCCCCGCAGCCCCCTGCATGGGGGGCAGGTTTGGCCCACTGCCTGGGGTGTCCCGTGCTGCTCTGCGGCCCTTGGAGGCACCCATGTTGGTGATTTTGCCAGTCTGAGTAAAACAGATGCTGAAGAGGGGCTTGCTATGTTTGTGCTGTATTCCCTCTTCTTTTTCAGGTATTAGTAAACATTGGCAACCATTTCGATCTTGCCTCCAGTATATTTGTAGCACCGAGAAAAGGGATTTATAGCTTCAGCTTCCACGTGGTCAAAGTGTACAACAGACAAACCATCCAGGTGGGTAGCTCTGAGGCTGTGTGGACCCTTTCAGCTTCGGACTGCTGCCGTCCCATGGCTGCAGATCCTGTCATACCCTCTGTGCGTCTGGGCCGACCAGGGAGTGGGCTGACCATGGGGCCTCCAGCACGGAAGCGGTCACATCTTCTGGGCCAAGCCCTTGGGGTGGCTCTGTGGAAAGGGCAGGGGGCGTGGGGGGGCAGAGAACGAGTGTGTGCCCGTGGGGTCCTGCATGGTCTGCTGAGCTTTACCCTCTGCACTGCAGGTCAGTTTAATGCAGAACGGCTACCCGGTGATCTCAGCCTTTGCAGGAGACCAGGACGTTACCAGAGAAGCTGCCAGCAACGGGGTCCTGCTGCTGATGGAAAGGGAAGACAAAGTGCATCTCAAACTGGAGAGGGGGAACCTCATGGGCGGCTGGAAGTACTCCACGTTCTCGGGCTTTTTGGTTTTTCCTCTATAAACACAGAGCCCCCAGACGGTGGGACAAGTTGTGATCTGGACCCAGGAATCTGCCCTTCCTCAACTCCCTGAACTTGCCAGAATAGCACCACTTATTTCCCACCTCCGTCAGACGGTTGAGGTAGAAGAATGATTTCCTTCTAAATCTCCAGTATTTTCTTTGAATATTGACCATTCCTCGGGAACCTGGCTTCTAATTAGTTTTAGACGACAAGGTCTGAAGGAGAAATGAAATTATCGATTTGAGCAATTTGTACCTGTGATTGTAAAGTCAATATTGGATCTTATTGTGGGGACCATTGACTTTTCTTCTTTTGTTTGTCCGTTGTATTGTTGCCCCCACATGAGGAGTGCCGCTGACCCCAGGATGGATGGCAGGTCGCAGGCAGGGCTCAGAGCAGGAGCCCTGCAAATCGCCACCCGCCGGATAGTCCTTGAAATGTGTTCTTTGTGTGTCTGTTCAGCCTTAAAGAAAAAGAATGGCTTCACTTTCATTCTGTATTTTCCCCCAGGGTGGATGGGAGGCCTCGGGAGGGGGAAGGGGACATTGTGAATCTGTCAAGAAGTGCTTTATCCGGAGAAGCAAATTTTGCACGATTGGACCTTGACTTTTGCTTTGTATTGTTTGTGTGTGTGCGTGTGTGGTTTTTTTGTTTTGTTTTGTTTTGTTTTCCTGGAAAAGCTTTACTTTTCTTTCCACATTCAGCTCTCCCTCCTTGCCCCTACTTCTTTTTTTTTTTTTGTGCTGGGATGGGGAGACAAATTTATGTTGAATTCTTGAATGAGACCAAACAAAACAACACAAAGAATACCTATGTATTTTGTTTTGGTTGAGAACAAACCAAACAGAAGGTACCTGTATATCAAAGTACAAATAACAGATGGACGATTCTGCTGCTTCTTTCCAAGAGATTCTTTCAGACGCACCTTTAGAACCGACAAGCTGGAAGTTCTTTTCTTTTCTTTTTTTTTTAATGCTCTGGAATACTTTAAGAACTTGATGTTCCTGGGTGGCCTGAATCACGTCTGATGAGGACGGACGCTGTAATGGCCAAGTCTCCTACACACACGCTTTCTTGGTCCAGTGTACCTGGGTCTTGCCAGTAGCCTGTCTCTGTCTATTTGCACCCACCTCTGTGCCAGCACACCAGGATCAGGTGCTTCAAAGCCAACAGGACCAGCCAGTCTCCCTCAGGATCCTCCTCTGATCTGCCAAGGAAAGAGGCGTGTTGACACTCCCCGCGGACACCTGGCGAGAAGCCACCTGCAAGTCACAGCGGTTACAGGTATTGGCGGAGGCACCCTGGGAGCAGTTTTGCAAATCCTTCTTCTTTGGCCCCTTGTACAACAATAGTATTACAATACAGCTGGGAGTCGATGGGTGCAGGATGCATATGCCAAGGAAATGTTACTAAATCCCAAAGCAATCGAAGAAGAGACCTCACAGCGGATGTTACTTTGTCCTTTGTGTCACAATGTAACCAAAATATTGATGATAAAAAGTCATAATTTAAGGTTCAGAATAAATGGGTTTGATGTCTGGCTTGTTCTTCTCCCTTCGCATCGTTTCCCAACTCCTACTAGGTGTGGAAGTAAAGACCAAGGATCAAGGCCTCGGGGAAAAGAGATCCACACCATGCCTCTTGAAAACACACACTCAAATGCACACTCTCGTATGCAGATCTAGCTATGGGTCTAGATGGAAATTGCACACTTAAGTACATTTCAGTTTCTATATATGTATTTTTCACACGAGAAGATTTTGGGGAGAGATATGTGAAAAAGATAGCATTAAAAAAGGCTTTATGGATAGGCAATCTGCTTTCATCACATATAATCATTGATGTGGTCAAGTCCCAATCCAATACTTCAATCAGTGAACATGGATATAAAAGAAACTGACATTTCAATATAGCATCAATTTTTTCTAAGATCCATGTGAGCACGGGGAAGCATTGGATTCCATTTTCAAATAAGAAACTCTGTGAGGATGATAGAAGTGCAAAAAATATATAGTTTGATGAAGAGTCTAAGTTTTACTGGCCTTAGGTGGACAGCATAATAAGGTACAGAATTTAATTTCAATTAAAATGCTATTTTATTTTGTTAGGAAAAGAAAAATCAAGAAATATCAACCAAAAAACACTTGCGTATTTTGCCTCTGTGATTAGGAGACAACCTTCTACGTATGAGCGTTGTTTATTAATGCTGATGATGCAAGCAGTAGGATGCTAGCAGATGTTTTTCTTCTGTGTTTTACTGCCCTTAGTGAATTAGTCCTCTGTCCCTAATTTTTTAAACCTACCGTTCAATTTCAGACAAGCAGCAAACTTCATTAGGGGACAATATTGCCCTTCAGAGATAGAAAAATACATGCATATGTGTTATTTTTTTTGCTTCCTAATATGTAATGCACATATTTGTATTTACAGCTTTACTACATACAGGTTGTTTATTTGGTTATGCTGTCTAATAAATAAGTTATTAAATTGATGAGTCTAAAAATAAGCATATTTCAGGAGTTTATTTTGTCTGAGGAAAAAAGCTTCATCCTGTTTATCCCACTCCTGCCAGTTATTTATTTATTTATTTATTTCTATCTGGAGCTGGATGCCAAAAACTACATTAGGGAGGAGCCACGACAGTAGGTTTTCTGAAGTTGTTTTGCTGCCCGAGTTCTGTCTGGCTAAGGATCTTGGAGGGAGATGATGCTCCTGTGTGTGGTCTACAAAAATATGTAGGTCAGATAAAAATTTGAAATATATTTTCCTTTAAGTGGGGAACGAAAGTGACATCTGGAAAATGCGCATTCTGATTTGAACATCCCTAACTCTGAGCTTCAGCTTTCCCCTGTGGAGCGAGGGCAGGAGCCTCCACATGTCTTGCCCAACTCACAAGGCTACAGGTATTGTGAGGTCACACAGATGTGCAAGGCACCGTTGATTACAAGAGGCATTATGTGGCAGGAAGCATGTTTCTGGAAAGTCGGATGTTTCCCCATGCAGTTCATTAAAAGTATTTAAAACAAACATCTGACAAGAGGATACTTTTATGTGATGCTTAATTTCCATATTCCCCACTAGCTTATTAAAACTGTAGCACTTTGGAAGTTTAATTTGATTTTTCAGAATGATGGTAATATGAACATGTCAAAATCTCTGCATTTTCCTAGTAACTCCATTCTTAATTATGTTCTTTGACTGTCTTGTATGCCTCCCTTTCCGTTCCAGGATGTGACACCAATATTTTATAAAAATATGCAACTGTAATATTTTTAACACAAGGAAAAACTGAGTTATCAATATTTTGGCATTATAATAATGAGTTGGTCTAGCCAATAAATGTTAATCCTACTAAACTGTAAATGCTTTTAAAACAACACTATTTTTTAACTTAAAATATATTCTAATTTGAAACACAACCCTGCTTCAACTCTAGGTCTTGAGAAACTGTGTTTACTATCTGTTCCTGAGCCTTTTTTGCAGCCTAATATTTTTGATCGATGAACTCATGTATAATGAAATTATTTACATTTTTAAAGTTTGTGATTATTATGACTGCTTAGAGCAAGGCAAGAAAGTCTATCAGATATTGGCATGAACACTCATGGAATCCTGTAGAGATTACATATTTACTTGTTTGGAAAAAAATGTTTTTTAACAAAACCCAGTGATATCAAGCATCAGAAGAGTTAGGAAAGACATAAAGCAAACCAAAACCTTTGTTGAATCCTTAATTTTAGTTGTAATATTTCCTTGATATCTTAAGGACATTGATACCAAGTCACATACATAGTAACTGTTACATATAGATCATTTGCCTGTAAGTACATGGACATATACACCTGATTTTTATCAATGAATAAAATAAAATACATAGGTTGACCACATTCTCCTGGAATCTGGAAATAGGTGAGAGGAGAATTTGTTGAATCATTTTATACAAGCAAAACAAAAGTATTGGTTGCTCCAGCATGCCTCGTATATAGCAAAAGGAGCAAAGAATGTTCTGTCAGTTTATGTCCCCATGATTTTGCAATCTTTTATAAGGAAATAAATATTGCAATAAGAAAACGTTGCTGTGAATAAATAGTTAATGTTTATATTTCTACAGCATAGGAAGTATATAATAATCTAATTCACATGAATGAAAGGCTGTGACATTATATTTAAGGTGGTGTAAATAAATGATGGAACTCATAGAAGCAGGATACATTGAATCATTCTAAATGTTTCTCTGTGCACTCTGTAAAAACACTTGTAAAAAATATAAAATGAGATTGACCATAGAACTACAATGAGGATTTGCCCTTTTACATTGCTTATGTAGGAATTTACTTGTCAATGGGACTCTGTTTCTAAAGCAGACACTTTGCTACCAAAATGGGAGATTACAAACATAATTAACATGTAAGATCAAAGCCTATACATTCTCAAAAGACTCTGAAAGTTAATTTTCTTGGCATTTAAGGAGCAAATATACACCAAAAATACTGAAGTAAGGCAAAATACAATTTCCATTTTGGTTTTTATCATTTTATGATTTTTGTGTTCAGAATTTTTTTTTTTATGAGAACACTATGAAGACGTTAGCTGATGATGGCCATGTACATTATTAATCAAGTATGTTTATGTATTTGCCTAGCCTTTTAAAACCTAATTTTTATGGATAGATTTCACCAAAAGGTGTATTTACTGCCTTTGCAGATAGAGAGCTACAATTCATTTACATTTAGATATTTTAATTTAATTTACATTTAGATATTTTAATTTAATTTAGATATTAAATATCTAACATTTAGATATACGTTACATAGCTATCGATGATGGGATTGCTCAGATCCAGTCTTCACCCATCCCTTCAAACAAAGAAAAAAAGTCTTTTCAAAATTCCTTTAAAGTAGATCCAATGAATATACACTTTAAAAAAAAATGTTCTGTGTGTGAGTTTGTATAACATTCCACCAAAATCTGAATTCTAAGTAAATGAGCTTTCTTTCCATTCCCAAACCCAGTAGGGTAACTTGAAATTTGTAAGGGCAAAAGCTGTGTGGTTTTACCTCCAACAGATAATAGGAGCTCTGTTTTATCTTCCTAAGTGGATTTTGCTATGGATTTCCATCACCAAAATCACCTAAGTGTCTATAGCATCATAAATCATCATCTGCATCAGCTCGCCCACATACACTCACTGTGTAGTGTAAATGAGCTTCCTGACAACTTAATTTGGAAAAGAAATCTTCGTTCCCTCTTCTTAATGCCCACGGCAGGACTCCCCGGGGTTAGAACGCTGCTTTGCACTGGAGTTATCCTAACAGAATGAAACTACTTATTAATGAGCCACTGCCATTGCTTGCAACCTGACCAGCTCTGCCTTACCTTTTATCATTGTGCCTCATATTTGTCAGGAGTGCTGATTTCTCCTTTTGAATTTGTTTCGGGTGGCCAAACAAAATAACACAAAGCAAAAACCCTACTTGAGTTGGAGAATGTTGGCAATATATTGGGATGTGGAACTCCTGAGTATTTTGCTTACTTTATTCATCTTAAAATGCTCCCATAAATCTCTTACGCTCTCAAAGTCCTGTCGGATAGAGAGCATCCTAACATTTCCTTGACTCATACTATAAATGAGCATTTATTGTGAATCTGGGTGCTTTGCTATGGAACTGACTTAAGATAAGAATAATATTTAAAGTATAACCAAATAAACTGGGAAAATTGGCAAATATTCTAAATTCCTCATTTCCAGTGTTTTGTTTACATGGATTTTTTTTACAATGTTTTGCATGGATCTTAAAGATTCCTATCAGCTTTAAAATTAACATTAAAATCAATATTTATCTTTGAATTGCTAACATATCTTTTTTTTTTTTTAACAAACATGTAACTATTCGGTCATGAATGATATACTTTTAGAGAGAAGTCTATCGCTGGATATAGTACATGAAAATGTGATACCTATCTTTTTTTTTTTTTTTTTTTTCATATTCCCAAGCACCATGTCGGGATGTCATGGCATATTTTTGTTCTGGAACTGTACATTGTCAGTGGAGAAAGCAATTATATTACTTATAAAAAGAAATTCATTCTTTTGAGATCAGGGTGTAAATGTTTTCTTTTCATTCCGTAACATTTACACATTGCTGCTTAAGGGCCAGATAGTGTGCTCATGGATGATGATAGAAAAATAAAGACACACTATTATGTGCCAAGAGTTTACAATTTCTTGTTAAAAACATAGCCTGGAGGGTATCCAGGTTAACTCATGGTAAACTCGTGGGTGGGCTGGGTGTGTGTAGGGGGAACCCAAGAAATTGGAATGCAAGTTTACTAAAGTGAATAACGTAATTTACTTTTTTCACACACAAGAAGGAGAATGTTATTTGGGTGTTGACACTGAATACTGAACACCCGTTAATTTTCCAACTAAAAGGTTCCTGATGACCTCTCCTCCCACGCTGAATATGGTTGGGTATTTGGCAGACACATGGCAGAGTAGAGCTCATAAACTAACCTTGAAATATTAAAGTGGGATGGG